AAGTGGCCTGCGTATTGACTTAGAAAACCACATATTGACCTGCATATTGACTTAGAAAACCACATATTAGGGGCAGCTAGGTGGCGCAATGGATAGAGCACTGGCCCTGAAGTCAGGAGGGCCTGAGTTTAAATCCGGCCTTAGACCAAAAACTTGATACTTACTGGTTGTGTGACCCTGGGCAAGTCACTTAACCCCAACTGCCTAAAAAAAACCCCAAAACCCCACATATTAACATTGTCTCCATCCTATGATATTTTTATTTATTTTGTTAAATATTGTGGGCTACACATTGACTTAGAAAACATTAACTGTATTATATTTTTGCTTATTTTGTTAAGTACTTCCCAATTATATTTTAATCTAGTTTAGGCCTCATTCAGGAGATTGCCGTCGGGCCCCATGTTTGATACATCTGTATACCTTCCATATGGTCATAGAAACAACTATTAGACCTTAAGTTTCAGAACTTGAATGACTTTATCTACCATATTAATTTTATACCTAATGTTATCTAAAGAACACCAAGCTTTTTACTGTATCTTAAGTATTGTATTTCACCTTCCACTTTAAATTCATTCTTTTAAAGCATTTTGTGCGATAGGTGGGCATATAAGCCTATGGTTTCCACCATCAGCTCACAAAGAACTTAACATCAGAAGACACAGGTTCAAATTTCATCTCTGCTACTTAGGGTCATAGATTTAGAGCTATACGAGATCTTAAATGTCTTCTAGTCCAAGCCCTTCATTTTATAGACAGGGAAACTGAGACCCAGAGAGCTTGAGTGACTTGCCAAAGATGACAGAGGCAGGAACTCAAGTCCACTGGTTCCAAATCTGCCTGGCACCTCTTCCACTGTTTTACCGTACCTGTATGGCCATGAGGAAGTCACTTAACCTCCTTGGCCTGAATTCCCTCTTCTGTAATATTAGCAGGTTGAACTATGTGATTTTAAAGAATCCATCCAATCCTAAATCCTGTGATGCTCTGAATGAGCTAGGAGCAAAATTATTGCCTTGTTATCCTGACAACTGGGGGCAGTGAGATGGTGCAGTGGAGAGAGCACCAGGCTTGGAGTCAGAGAGATCTGAATTCAAATATAGCCTCAGACACTTACCAGCTGTGTGACATTGGGCAAGTCGCATAATCCCTATTTGCCTCAGTTCCTCGTATGTAAAATGGGGACACACTGGGGAAAGAAATGGTAAACTACTCCAGCATCTTTGCCAGTGTAGAGTCAGACACGATTGAATGGCTAAACAAGAATGTCTTGACTAAGTAACAGTTTTATTTTCAGTCTTTTATGTACTTACTTCCAGTTTGAAGATGTATATGATATTGTTTGAGAGGGCTCATATGTACTTTTAAAAAGCTTATTATTAATTGAGAACCTATAATTATACCAATTGTAATTGGTAACATTGACAGGCAAGATCCCAGTACAACAGTGGAATTGTCCAGATTTTTCTGTTATGTTGTCAAATTATTATATTGCAAAAAGTTGTTGTTAATGGGGGCTTGGAAGCAATGTGGTTGGTTATAAAGCCTAGTTTCATATAATAATATTTGTCATAGAGACCTATATAATTGTGTTATCACTTTTAAATAGTTTATAGTAGAAATACCAAAATAAGTACTTTGGTCAGTCAAAAGTAAGTGTGCATTTGGTGGATTGACTAAGTTCAATCCATCTTCATTATACATAAATAGGTGTATATATACACATATGCATAAGCATGGCATAGTGGAGAGAGACAGAGATAGGCAGTCAGACATCATGATATAATGGATAGAATATTGGCCTTGAATCTTGGCCAGGAAGACCTGGACTCAGATGCTGCCTCAGACTCATGCTGGCTTTGTGACACTGGATGAATAATTTCAACTTTCAGAGCTCTGGGCTCTGTCAATTTAGAACTGTCAATTGCAGAAAAGGTGCAACCTGATTTTGTAGGGGGACTTTCCTTATCTGAGAATTCCTTAAGCTTGATGAAGTCATAGATTCAGAATTCACTCACATATGTAGATATGAAATGTTCTATATAATATGCCTTCTTTATATATTATTTTCCATATAAAATGTATCATGTTGTGTCCTTTATGTATAGGTGTATGTATATATCCATATATCTATATATAACGCAGCACAGTATAGTGCAAAGTTAACTGTATAGGAAATCAGATGCCCTGGTTTCTAGTCTGGACTCAATTAAATTCAACAAACATTTGTTAAGACCTTACTATGTACCAGGCACTGTGCTAGGCATTGAGGATAGAAAAACAAAAATAATACTACCTCTATCATTAAGGAGCTTAGACAAATCACTTTATCACTTTGGACCTCACTATATGATATTAAGGTTTCCTAATCTTTTTTGTGTCATTGGACCCCTTTGGCGAACTGGTGAAGCCTATGGACTTCTTCCTCAGAATAATGTTCTTAATGCAAAGAATAAAATATATGGGATTTCAAAGGAAACCAATTATTGGAATATAATTGTCATAATATTTTTAAAAGCAAATTCATGGGCCCCAGGTTAAGAACCTCAGGGCCAGATGAATTCTAACTGTGCTCTTAAATGCCGTGATGGGTGCAGTGGATAGAGCACCCGCCCTGCAATCAGGAGGACCTGAGTTCAAATGCAAACACTTGACATTTACTAGCTGTGTGACCCTGGGCAAGTCACTTAACCCCAACTGCCTAAAAAAAAAATGCTGTGATGCTTTGAAGATGGTGCTACTTATCCACTATGGTAAGGCATGTGCTTCAAAGTGTTTCTTTCCAAGAGGCTGGAATTAATGTATCATTCTCTTATGCCTCTTATGATTAATGGCAAACACTGGAAAAACAGCTAAGTAGGGTTGGTTGGTTCAACTGTGACCACAGAAACAGAGTGAAACTTATTGGTATATGTGGTAATTCCACTCACAAACCTTAGCCTTATTAACCCCAAGGTCCCACAGATGTGCTAACCAGCTATTGACAATATGAATAGACATATGGGAAATTCCTGAGTTAAGATTCTATGATCTAGCCACCCCATGCAGAGAGTAAGAAGAATCTCTTGTGCTTTTGTTCTCGGGCCTATACAGTGCTATGCATAGTTCCTCAGAGGGTGCTGTGCATATAGTAGGCATCCTTCAAGTGCTTGTGGGAGGAAGAAAGGAAAAGTTAGAAGACTAAATTAAATACAATTCCTAGGAACTCAAAATTTTCACAGAAAGGTAACTTTTAAAAATGTTTCTGAATGGGTTTTGAAGATCCGTGTTGTTTATGACTATTTATGTAAAGGAAAGTGCTTACAGAAATTGCTGCTCTGAATTAACTAACTTACTAGCCTTTCAGCTGTTAACCAGTAATACTGTTCATGGTACTAAATACGGCTTGTTCAGAATTGGTAGGCCACTGACAACAGAAAGTCTTTGCTCTCATCTTGATCACAGTCCTTGAAAATTAATAAGTGGTAGCTATCTAGCCATATGGTAGATTAGGGACTTGAAATTCTCAGGCTTACTAAATATTGCTCTCCATATACTGTATTTTGGCCAAACTGACCTGCTTGAATGAATGAATTTAAAAAAAACATTTAATTTCCTACTATGTGTTAAGTACTGGGGATACTGGTAAAAAACTGAGACAGTCCCTGCTCCCAAGGAGTTCACATCCTAATTTGGAAAAACAGTGCAAAAAAGAAAGTTCAGATGCAGGGTGAATGAAAAGGCCTAATGATCTTTAAGGTATATTGATGACAGATAATATGGCAACACCTCTGGAACTCAATAGAAGTAAGGCTTGGAGGGCATAGAATAAGACAAAACCATTCTGAACTTAACAAACATGAACCAAAATGAGAATTTTCATATACATAGTGGAATGTATCCTTCCATATAAAGAGAGGATTGTACTTAAAATTCTACATCTCCATAAAATACAGGCACTTTTCTTTTTAAGTACATGATAAATTCAACATGTAACTTTCAAAGCTGTCTGCTTATAATTTCTTTCTAGTCTTCCTTCTCTTTTCATTTCAACAACATGTTTGAATGGCCCTCTTTTCTTTCTTTTCTTTTTCTAATTTTTTTTTTCTTTTGGCAGCTTTATCACACTTCCCTCTTATTACAGAATCCCTCCTCCCACCCCCACCCCTACCTCAACTGATGAGGGAAAAAACCCTTTGTAACAAATCCCAACATTGACTGTGTCTCAGTCTGGCTAGGGAGACGATAAGGCCTTACTGTTCCTCACATGTGACATTCTATATTCCATCTCCCGGCATTTGCATAGCTTGTCTGACCCCATGTCTAGGATGACCGTTTCACTTCTGCCTCTTAGCAAACTTAGCTTTCTTTGAAGCTAAACTTCAGGGCTACCTTCTACAAGAATCCATTGTGATTCCCCCACTTTCTAATGACCTCTGCAAAAATTACTTTGTATATATTGTTATATTAATTTTCTGTGTATATATTATGTCCCCCACCCCCCAATAAAATATAAGCTCTTTGAAGACAGGGACTGTTCCACTTTAGTCTTTGACTCCTGACCCTTAACACGTGCCTGGCATATAGTAAATACTTTATACATACTTTTTGAATGCTAAATATTAATCACATTTAACTTTGACACATATAGGATGATCCAACAAAGAAACCATCTGAGTAAACACAATAATTTTTCATTTCTAAAAGACAGCTCTCAGTGTGAAAACCCATGGAAAGCAGATTATAGGGGAAATTTTGAATAGCATCTGTATGTTCTGTTCTCTACACACACACACACACACACACACACACACACACACACGCGCACACACACACACCAATTCACTAAAAAAAAAGTATCTGTCTGAAGCCTTTTTACTTCCAGAAGTCCAAGGGCTGAAAGCATTCACTATAATCACTTTAGATATCCATAAGTTGCATAACTTTATACCCCAGAAGCATGATGAAATCTTGTGCGAATTAGGTCATTTACAATTACACTGCTTTCTCTTTTGCAGGCTAGTGAAAGATGCTCCTTGGGATGAGGTCCCCCTTGCTCACTCTCTGGTTGGCTTTGCCACTGCCTATGACTTCCTGTTCAACTACCTGAGCAAGACCCAGCAGGAGAGGTTTCTTGAAGTGATTGCCAATGCCTCAGGATATATGTACGAAACATCGTACCGCCGCGGATGGGGGTTTCAATACCTGCACAATCACCAGCCCACCAACTGTATGGCCCTGCTGACAGGAAGCCTGGTCCTGATGAATCAAGGTGTGTGGTGAATTCAAATAAGGGAATAGATTTATGATGCCTGGATCCATCCTATTTGCCATTTCCTGTGTAGGAAGGATTCTGCTTGCTGTGACTCTGAGCCTAACCAAGCTCATGACCTGCAGTCATCATGGGACATGTACTAGCTAATTCAAAGTTGTATTTTTCTCTTTTTTTTTTTGTTAATTAGACTAACTTTAATCTATTGAATATGGTATCATTGTGATTTCCCTAGGCTACACAGTCAGAACTAAAAGTAAAGTGAAGATTTGGCAATTATCCAGAGAATTCTGGTAGTGAAGACAGCTGCCTGGGGTTAAAAAGTTCATTTAGAAGTGATTTGAATTGGCTGTCCAGACTACTCAGGCTCACTAGATAATTACCAACATGCCACTTTATTTTTCTTTTGTAGACATATAAACTGAGCTTAGAGCATGACTGCCAGTCTTTCATTCCCCTTTGTTCTAGAAGATCATAGATTTAAAACTGGAAGGGGCCTTAGAGACCATTGAATCCAATCTCTTTTTATGGATGAGGAAACTAAGTCCCAGAATAGTTAAGTGGCTTGACCATGGTCACACAGCTAGTAAGTCTCTGAGGTAGGATTTAAGCTTAGACCTTCATGACGAATCCAGTGCCTGACATCCATTATGGCATTCGGTAAATGACTCTCTTTTTGTATCCATTATTATTAAAATAATGAAGTCACAATCATATGAAACTGTTAAGATATTCAAAGAATACTTAGAAAAAAGAGTCAGTGTGTTAGGATCTTGGATATCCCCATGGATATTATTCACACTGAGGATTTTATCTCAGTCTACCTTCTCTTTTTGTCCCTTATCTACAGTATGTGCGCTGGGAATGGAAATTAATTTTAATAAATAAACAAATAGGAAGGAAGAGCTGCTCTCTCATTTCCTGTCTCTTGATAAATATAATAAATTTCAAGGTCCAACATAAGAAGCAGCACGATTTAGCAGAAAGACCACTGGAATGGAATGCTAGGGTAGGGGGCAGCTGGGTGGCACAGTGTGTAGAGCGCTGGGCCTAGAGTCAGGAAAACCTGAGTTCAAATCCAACCTCAGATACTTGGTAGCTATGTGACCCTAGGCAAGTCACAACTCCTGCCTCAGTTTCCTCATCTATAAAATGGAGATGATAATAGTAGTACCTACCTCCCAGGGTTATTATGAAGATCAAATGAGATAATAATTGCAAAACATTCAGGACAGTACCTGGTACATAGTAGGCACTGTATAAATGTTAGCTATTATTTGTTATTATTATTAGTCCTCACTGTGGCCCTAAGTAGCTGTGCAACCTTAGCTAAGTAACTTAACTTGTCTGACCATCATTTTTCTCCTCAATAGAAAAAATAAGGGTATATTTGAATAAAAATGCCTTTTGAGGGGCAGCTACGTGGTACAGTGGATAGAGCTCTGGCTTTGAAATTAGCAGGACCTGAGTTCAAACCCAACCTCAGACATTTGACACTCACTAGCTGAGTGACCCTGGCAAGTCATTTAACCCCAATTGCCTCAACAAGAAACAAACAAAAAAAATGCCTTTCAAATCATTTAAAAAAATCTGTCGTCTGGTATTCTGGTGGATTAACCATCTTATTGCTTACAAAATACAAACTGTTTGCTGAATTGCCATCAGTATGTAATGCAAATATAGCTCTAGCTGCTCATACAGAGAATTATCAAATATTACTCTTCTGGACATTTTGATTTATGTGTGCTTTTTCTCTCTCCCCTACTAGATTATTAGCTTCTTCAGGGCAAAAGGCATACAATATACTAATATGCTGAGTATAGCACTACAGTTCCTGAATGTGATGCCTATTGCAAGAGGAGAAACTGAGGGCAAAGTCAGAAGTCATCACTCTCTCCAAAAAAAAAAAAAAGGCATTGAAAATCAATATGAACTGGAAGAGATTAGCTAAATGTAGAAGTGACCCAGCCTAAATAATGGAGTATAGAAGGATTGCTTCTGAGACTAGGGCCTCCCCAAATCTCAGGAGTATAGGATGTGTCCTAAATCTCCATCAAGAAGATGGAGGTATCGATCTAATCTCATCAAGGTATAGAATGCCTCCCAATCAAGTAAGCATTTATTAACCACCTACTCTGTGCTAGGCACCCTGTTAGGTGCTGGGAATAGAAATGCAAAGAATGAAACAATTGCTACTCTCAGGAAGCTTGCATTCTAAATCTCACCAAGCTAAGGTAATTAACTATAATCTTTGAAATTATTATGTACGAAAATATATCTCAAAAATCATAATATATGAAAATTTTTACTGGAAGAGTTAGTAGCTTATCTGGAGCCCAGAAAAATAAGTAAGACGTTTTGTTTGTCACCACCATTGTCCAAAGAGGAAGGTAATGTTTTCACCACTGCTACCTTTTTGAAGGTAGAAGCTTTAAAAAACATGAGATTTTCAGAAATGATCAAGTGGTTAAGAGACAATGATTTCTGAGAAAGAGATTTGGATTTCTTGACCATAGTTTAAATATAAGTATAACAGACCTGAGCAAGTGAAGAGGGCACCTAACAAAGGCTGGTTAAAAATACAATTACCTTGGAGTCTTATCAATCTGATCACATCGAGATCTTACACTGAAAAAGGAGGAAGCAAACCAGCCACATATATGTGCTAATCCCTATGCTAAGGAGAATATAGTAGTTACTATATAAGAAGAAAAACAGTACTGAGTTCACAGTATCTAAGAATAGATCCAGCAGTGAAACTCATAGCCTCAATTGCTTGTATGCAAATGAACTAAGGATGGGTAATAAAGTGGAGAACCTAATTAATCTCAGAGGTATCACTGAGAGTTGGAGTAATGAAATTCATAATTGGAATACAAATGTGTGTGTGTCCAGACATAGTATTTCATCAGTATGAAAAACTTTCAGGGAGGAAACCCTCTCTATTTATGCAGTCCAATGCTCTGGAGAGGTTGGGGTGGGAGGGGAAGTAGAACTGAGAAATTATGTGACTTACCCAGGGTCAAACAGCCTACATGTACCAGAAATGGGACTTGAACCTTCCTTCTGCCACTAACTGTCTTTCCTCCTGACTCTGAGGCAGGTACTCTCTTCTCCATGTTATCTTTCCTCTGTAGATATATATATTAATCAAAATGAATAAAATAGATAAAGGGGGTAGAGTAGCATTTTATGTTAAGAAAGTACCTATATTCATTCATATGGGAAGATCCAAGAAGGGATAAAGCATGATGAAAAAAACATTTGAGCGAAGAGCAACAGAAGAACAGAAGAACATTATAGTGAGAATATACACTGGAGCACCTAGAGAAAAGGAGGAAATAGATGAAGTAACTGGTACACAAATAAAAACCTGTCCAAGAGATATTGTGGGGATGTGTAATTTAAATCATCCAAATTGGAACTTGCCTTTAATGGTAATTTCATTCTGCACTAAAGTAGAAAAAGCAGCAAGGGGGAATGGCTGTTATGGATCTGATTCTGATCGATAAGCAGGAACCAACTGGGAGTAATCTACTTGAACCTTGAGGGGAAAGAGATTACTTCATCTCAAAGCTTGTGATAGAGATGGGGATAGCCTGACCTACACCTTGGCATTAGGAAGAGCAGATTTCAGGAGACTCATATAAAAGACAGGTAGAATTCCATTTCAAGAACCCAAATTTAGGTTCTGTATTAGTATAGTGAAGTACTTCCTTTGATACTTTGATATCTTTTTTTTTTTCTTTGAAACAATTGGGGTTAAGTGAGTGTCTGAGGCTGGATTTGAACTCAGGTCCTCCTGACTCCAGGGCCTGTGCTCTATCCACTGTACCGCCTAGCTGCCCCTAAAGGTAATGCCATTATTGATTCTTGACTACAATCCTTTCCAACACTTTGTTGTTGTTGTTGTTGTTGGGTTTTTTTTGGTGAGGCAATCGAGGTTAAGTGACTTGCCCAGGGTCACACAGCTAGTAAGTGTCAAGTGTCTGACGCCAGATTTGAACTGATATCTTTCTACCTTCATCTATGAATCCAGGATTCCTTTGATATAAATACTCTCCCTGGCTGGGAAGATTGCAATGCCTCCATGCTTCGTCATCTTGTGTGATTCTTATCTATGTCCTATAAATCTTCCACAAGGAGGTACACCCAGTATGCTGGGTGACATCTTCTTGATCTCTTGACATTGCTTGCATGCTTGTGGAAGATACCATCTGTCTTATCAATTTCCTTACTCTCACCATATGACAAGTCTCTTTTCTTTTTCAGTTATATATCTCTCTGATGGCATCCTTTAACAGTGCTTCTCCTATACAGATCTTTGTTGTTAATATGTTGCGTCCATATTATACTAGCTACGTACCTCTCCATTTCCACTGGCAATGCCAGTGGATTATGTCATTAAGCTTGTAAAACAAACAACTCGATTGATTTTTATATGATATGGTAAAAAGAAAATGAGGGGGTGGTATTTTCAATTGCTGTTACTAATTTAGTGAAATTTAGTGCAATAATTGCTCAATATATAACTATTTTCTCATAAACAAAAAGCCATAAACTTCTCATGACCGTATTTTATCAGTGGAAATACTAGTATTCTCAATCAAAGTCGTCCTGGGATGTCACATCATGATGTAGAGGTGACCTTGGTTTCTTGAAGGCTGTGTACTGGAGTATGAGCTCTGACTTCTGCTAAGCTGGGAAGGCTTTAGGTTATTCTTAGTTGTTGTTTTGAAGAGGACCAGTGACATCACAAGTGATGTCATGACTCGGATATGGGCCTGACAAAAGAGTGTACCTATATAGCCAAAGAACTGAGCTAAGTTCAGAGAGATTTCTCACCAGGTTGGCCACCAGTCAGTGAGCTTACTCTAGCTACATGTTGGCTTTCAGCAGCTCATGCTGTCTATCAGTTAAGGTACAGAGGGATTGTGAAAGAAGTCCCCAAACTGAATCACAGATTCTAAGAGTTGGAAGGGACTTCAAGAAGCAACTAATACAATTAGTAAAAGAAAGGAATCTTCACTATAACATGGCCGACAAGTGGTAGTTTGGTCTCTGCTCATCACTGATAGAACCACAGAAATCTTCAACAAAGTTTCAGTTTCCTGATTATTCCTCATAAATAGTTGTTGTTATAAATTATAAAATCCTACCTAAATTCTCAGAAATTCAAAAATCAATGAGGAATATTTACAGTACCGTGGGAATGGTGTTAGAACTTTGCTTTGCATCCATAGTGCTAAGCAGAGTATATGTCACATAGGGGCAGCTAGGTGGTGCAGTGTATAGAGCACCGGCCCTGAAGTCAGGAGGACCTGAGTTCAAATCTGGCCTGGGACCAAACACTTGACACTTACTAGCTGTGTGACCTTGGGCAAGTCACTTAACCCCAATTGCCTAAAAATAACAAACAAACAAATAAATAAATGAATGAATGAATAAGTACATAAATAAATAAATAAATGGATAGATAAATGAATGAATGAATGAATGAATAAATAAATGGAAATAAAATAAATAAGCGTATATCATATAGTAAGTGTTTAAATGCTTGTTACCTGACACAGTTGGCATAAGAAATTTACAAAATGCCAATAGCATAGATTAGTCCATTTGGCTCATGTAGCAGAAGCAATCGTTTTTTTTCCAACTCAATGTCTTAAATGTTTTTTTGGTCGTTAAATTTTTCTTTGCTAATTAATTATCATTGCCATGTATTTTTCTGGTTTAGGTTATCTTCAGGAAGCCTATTTGTGGACCAAACAAGTTTTAGCCATCATGGAGAAGTCTATGGTCTTACTCAGAGAAGTCACAGATGGCTCCCTCTATGAAGGAGTCGCCTATGGCAGCTATACCACCAGGTCCCTCTTTCAGTATATGTTCCTGGTACAGAGACATTTTGATATCAACCACTTCAGTCACCCTTGGCTTAAGCAACACTTTGCATTCATGTACAGAACAGTTCTTCCAGGTAAGTTTCACAGAGGAGGTAAAGAATTGGGAATGATTATGAATGTTAGCTAAAGGATTCAATTTTTTGCCCATTGAAACATATATTCTTTACTTACATATATTGGGGAAGGATGAAGCCCTTGGTTTATGGGCACATGCTCATCCAGAATATTTGTCTTCTTCAGCAAAAGCAGTACATTCAAGAATAAATGCACTTTATACATAAGCACAGTATGTTTTTAAGTTGATGTGGGGGTTTATGACAAGTACAAAATTGCAATAATGGTATGAACTTTCAAAGCACAGATTAAAAAAAAAGGTTAAAAGGCAAGTTTTTTTTAAAAAGAAATTTAACCAAGAAAGTTTCTTCTCTGTGTATACATTATCTTGGTTGTATATACCAAGGTAATTTTTATCTATAAATGAGAGACAAGCACTTATACTGATGGTTCATTTTCTCTTAGAAATGCCTAGATTTGCAATTCAAAGGAAAGATTCCAACTGCATTTAGAAGTAGGATCCATGGGATTCAGGGCAGAAAGCTAAAGAACACATACCGATGAGCATAGTTCTTCCTTCTAGGTTCTGGTTGCTGACTGGTCAATTTTTGTATGGAGATAGTTTTTTAAGATCATATCTTTGAAAGATATAATGCTTGATGAAAGTCTGTCAGTCAGTTGTTTCATCTTATCATTTAGGAGAATTAAGCTGTTTAGTGACAGTATAATTTTAGTGAATGATTACAAGATACAGAAGAAGACCCACATCAAAATCCCTTGTTTTGGTCCATTTTAGTGACAAGACAATAACAATAGACATTTACATGGCACTTTAAAGTTTGTCAGGCACTTTTCAATACATTATCTCATTAAAGCTTTGCAACAATACTGTGTGGTAGATATTATTACTCTCATTTTACAGATGAGGAAGTGAAGCACAGAGAAATGAAGTAGATTCACATTTCCTGTTTCTGATTTCACATATGCTAGTTTTCCTCTCTTTAGAGAAAGGCAAACAGAAGCACAATCATCAGTTAACATCTTGCCAAAGGATATGTAGATTGACTCGATAGCAGTTTTAAAAAAAACAAACTCTAAACCCTTAATTTCTTAACTTCTAATAAAGTAGATTAAGTTCCTGGGCTTTATGTAAATAAAATATTTACAGAGCATTCATGTAGCCATGTCAACAAATAAAACCTTTGCATATGTTTCATAAAGGTAATTTCATAAATCTTTTTGTAGATTAATGCAGCTCTCAGAGAATTACATACATAAATGCAGTGGGAAATATTTGTTTTCCATATGCAAGTTTTTAAAATATTTACTGATTTGTCCTTTCACTCTTTCCCTCCCCACCCCTTCAGGTTTTCAAAGAACGGTGGCAATTGCAGACTCAAATTACAACTGGTTTTATGGGCCAGAAAGTCAGTTGGTGTTTCTAGATAAATTTGTCATGCGTAATGGCAGCGGCAATTGGCTGGCAGATCAGATTCGACAGAACCGAGTGATAGAAGGCCCAGGAACAGCATCCAAAGGGCAGCGCTGGTGTACTCTGCACACTGAGTTTCTCTGGTACAACACGTTGAATTGTCTTCAAAGAGATATGGTTTTGGCAATCAATCAGTTAGTCAATAAACATTAAGTGCCTACAATATGCCAGGCACTGTGCTGAAAGCTGGGGACACAAAAGAGGCGAAAGAACAGCCCCTGCCTTCAAGGAGCTTACAGTCTAATGGGGGAAACAGCATGCAAACAAGTGTATACAAAACAAGCTATATAAATAAATAGGAAATAAGCAAGATAAAATAGAAAATAACTAAGAGAGAGAAGGCACTGGAATTATATTTTTATATGATATGCAAGCTACATTTAAAAACTAATCTAAAACTTACTGATATCTCCACGTTTCACAGCACAGGCAGCATCAGCATGATTTATATCATATGGTGCCCTATCTTCAGATATTCTAATTTTTGTGTTAAAAGCCCTTTCAAGTTTGCTTTACTGTCTTCTGGAGGAGGAGATCTTTCCCTAGTTAACATTAGCATAGAGCAAAGCATACTCTTATGATTTATATCAGTTTGGATATAAGTACAAAAGGGAAGAAATAAGCTTTGGGCTGGAGATACTTTTGTTGCCATAATATCACAAATTTCATACATTAACATGTTTTGACAAATGGAGTATGAGAGTTTTGTAACTCTGAAGAACTTATTTCTAAGCATGTTTTTAGGGTTAAAAAAGTATACAACAATGTTACTTTGATATAAGAACCATTCATCATTGATTTGTCTTAATTTCAGAAACAATCTTTTAAGCCTCCAGGGGAAACACTGTATCACCATCTGTTTTATGTTATTGCCAAGTACATTGTTGTCATCCAATACTTTAGAATAAAAAGTACAAAGAATTGGTTAATCATTAACCCATTTCATCTTTTCCATCATTTGGATAGTGGGCTTCTCATGGTTTGATTCTTTCACTTTATCAGAATTTCACAAATACATTAAGCCATTAATGAGAAAAATAAAAAGGTTAGTGGTACTGCTCTTTGACTTACATTTTTTCAATGTTAATTTGCAATTATAAGAAAATTTTTGAGATTTATAGGTAGTACATTAAATTGTTTGATAATGTCTTCCATTTACTAAAGTTGTAAGGTCTAATCAAGGAGGATTTGAAATGGGGAAATATGAGAGAATAGCTCAATGATAACTATGAGCCATTTTCCCTCCACATGAATTCCAGTGGCATGAGAAACATACAAGAAGCTGGAAGAAAGTCTTTATTTTTGGCTAGTTTTGGCTGGTGTTGTGAATTTGCATTGATTCAGCATACATAGTGTCTCAGATGCTTGACAGAATATATGGAAAGACTGAGTTCTTGTTGTCTTGAAACTCAGAAATCCCAAAACAACAAACAAGTCAAGAATTAAATAAGCATAAAACCACCTCCACCCAAAGTTGCTCCAGCTTAGAGGGAAAAATAAGAGCAGCTGATGATACATCTCAGCCCTTCTTCCCTGGGGCAACAAATCACATGAACCTCACTCATGCCTACCCATCCATAGGTACTCTGAGCAAAAGTTAGAAAGTATTTGTGAACCCATAAAAAGCAATGTGGTACAATGGAAAGAAAGCTAAATTTATAGTCAAGGGATTTGGGTTTTGAATCCTAGCTGTGCACTTTACTCCTTGTAACCATGTCATTTAAGTTCCCTAGGCCTCAATGTCCTCCATTTGTAAAATGAGAGAGTGGAACTAGATGGCTTTAAAAGTCCCTTCCAGAGCTAAATCTATGATTCTAAGAAGTTTTTTTTCCCCAACTATGTAATAACTTGAAAATATTTACATGCAGTTTAAATGGATCGTAGAAGATTAGGGCTGGAAAGGACATTGGAGGCCACTCATTTTATATAAAAGGAAACAGAAGCCCAGAGAAATGAAGCGATTTGCCCAGTGTCACACAGGTAATAAGGGGCAGAATTGGGACCATAACACAGGTCTCCTAATTTGCAAGGCAGTGCTCATTCTTCTTCAACATGCTGCTTCCTCTGGGCCTTTACATTCAAACTAAGGAGTGGAATCTGCAAAAAAAAATCTAAAAAGCGTAAGTAGTTCCCTGAAGTTTCATCTTTGTATAGTGTACTTTGGCCATTTAGCAATACACTTTCTTCCTAAGTTCTACCTTTGTTTTGAGCTTTGAGAAAGGAAAAAATCTGACAAGACAGAAGTATGATGGAACCTCATTGTGATGTTATTCCTTATAATTCAGATGCTAATAGTTCCTATGCTAGTATTTCCACCAAACTACAAACCCCTAACTAAAGGTCTAGGGAATATACTCAGACCCAGAAGCTCTGACTGGGTTCAGTGTTAGTAGCAGATCTCAAGTTTCTGAGAAAGAAGTTGAGATTTGCTTGACTCTCTTGCTGCCTGTGTGGCCTTAAAGAATTCTGGGCTTCTATTAGTTTGGCAGCTGCTGTGGTATCCCCCAAGAGACTGTCTTGGCTTACTGTACTGCAGTGTTCCTAAAACTATGCCCAGGACAGTGAAGGGCACATTTTATTGGTATATTATTCTCTCAAATAATTGCAATCTTATTTTTGTATTTGTATATTATTCTCCACTTGTGGAATGTGCTCTGATGTGTCATCAATTTATTTTAAATTGATGCTTATCTTTTTTTAAATATTCATTTTATAGGTATGAAGCCAGCTTGGGTTCTGTACCTCCCCCGGATTATGGAACCCCTACGCTTCATTATTTTGAGGACTGGGGTGTTGTGACTTATGGAAGCGCCCTGCCTGCAGAGATCAATAGACCTTTCCTTTCCTTCAAGTCAGGAAAACTTGGGGGACGTGCAATCTATGACATCGTCCATAGAAACAAGTACAAAGAGTGGGTAAAAGGATGGAGAAATTTTAATGCTGGCCATGAGCATCCTGACCAAAACTCATTTACCTTTGCTCCCAATGGCGTGCCTTTCATCACAGAGGCTCTCTATGGGCCAAAGTACACCTTCTTCAACAATGTGCTAATGTTTTCCCCAGGTGTATCAAAGAGCTGCTTCTCTCCCTGGGAAGGTCAGGTCACAGAAGACTGTTCGTCAAAGTGGTCAAAGTACAAACATGACTTAGCTGCACACTGTCAAGGGAGAGTGGTTGCTGCTCTGGAGAAGGAGGGAGTGGTTTTTATACGAGGGGAAGGAGTTGGAGCCTACAACCCTCAGCTAAGGCTGAAGAATTTCCAGAGGAACCTAATCCTCTTGCACCCTCAGCTGCTCCTCCTTGTGGACCAAATCCACCTGGAAGAAGATAGTCCTCTAGAGGCAGCAGCCAGCTTTTTTCACAATGTGGATGTTCCTTTTGAGGAGACTGTGGTGGATGGTGTCCATGGAGCTTCCATTAAGCAGCGAGATGGTACATATAAAATGTATTGGATGGATGATACTGGGTATAGTGAGAAAGCAACCATTGCTTCAGTGATGTACCCCCGGGGATATCCATACAATGGAACAAACTATGTGAATGTCACCACACACCTCCGTAGCCCCATCACCAGGGTAGCCTATCTTTTCATAGGACCTTCTGTAGATGTTCAAAGCTTCAGTATCCATGGGGATGCTCAACAACTGGATGTATTTATAGCCACTAGTGACCATGCTTATGCAGTATACCTTTGGACAGGTGAGGCTGCTGGACAAACACCCTTTGTACATGTCATTGCAGATCGCCAAAAGATTCTGTTTGATCAGTCTGCCATCATTAAGAGCTCCCCTGTGTCTGAGGTGAAGGACTATGCTGGAATTGTAGAACACAGTCTTCAGCATTTCAAGCCAGTTTTCCAGCAGCTAGAGAAGCAGATCCTGTCCCGTGTCCGTAACACAGCTAGCTTTCGAAAGACTGCTGAGCGCCTGCTGAGATTTTCAGATAAGAGACAGACGGAGGAAGCCATTGATAGGATATTTGCAATCTCTCAGCAGCAGCAGCAGAGGAAGCAGCAGCTACAAGGCAAGGCAAAGAAGAACCGAAGGACAGGCAGGCGCTACAAATTCATTGATGCCGTCCCTGATATTTTTGCACAGATTGAAGTAAATGAGAAAAAGATCCGACAGAAAGCTCAGATTTTGGCACAGGAAGAATTGCCTATAGATGAAGATGAAGAAATGAAAGACCTTTTAGATTTTGCTGATGTCTCCTATGTGAAACATAAAATTGGGGTACCATTCAGAGGCCAGTTTGGGCAGGCCCAGATGGTGACAACCACCCGAAGTAGGGCCCCCTCAATATCTGCTTCCTATACCAGGCTTTTCCTCATTCTGAACATTGCTATTTTCTTTGTCATGCTGGCAATGCAACTGACTTACTTTCAGAGGGCCCAGAGCCTGCATGGTCAAAGATGTGTCTATGCAATCCTTCTGGTTGATAGCTGCATCTTACTGTGGTTGTACTCTTCTTGTTCCCAGTCTCAGTGCTAGCCATGCTACTATGAACTTCCCGGCCATTCTATGATCCCTGGAATCTATGCAAAACTTAAAAACCCCTAAGAGGGTGCTATTTTTTTTTGGTGATTTTAGTCTTCTCAAATGCATTCCAGGAAATCTGAGAGCAGGAGAAAGAGAAGGATCTTTTCAGGAAAAGGGGAGAGAGAAAGAGACACACACACACATACACACACACACACACATACATACACACACACACACACACACACACACACACACACACACACAATAAGGCTAGGGCAGGCTTCTTTCAGAAACAAAGACTCACTTGATGGTCCCCTAGCATCTGGAAAAGTATTTTGCTTTGCTAATGACAATAGTCAAAGCATGATTACTTTTAGCTGAAACAAAAAGTTCCGAATGAAGTAATTATCATACTTTTCTTAACCATGGCATAAAAAAGAGGGAGGGGACTTATTTTTAGAATTGGGTTTGTATCATGAACTTGATGTTCAGCTCAGACATTGTTCCATGACTACCAGAGAATTTTTAAATCTTGAAACACAATATGTGTTGCAGTGCAAAATTCTTTCCCCTGGAGGTAGTCTCAATAGTGCTTTAATTAGGTCACTTTATTGGATCATACCTTTAAAGTTGGAAGAGACCTTAGAAGCCATATAGTCCAAATCCCTTTCTTTTTGCAGATGAGGAAACCAAGTCCCAGAGGAAGAAAATGACATGTCCAAGGTGACATAGGGAGTTAGTGGCCAAGCTGGGATTCAAACTCAGATTTTCTGATTCTGAATCCAACACTGTTTCCAGCACACCCACTTTAAACAAGATTAGTAAGTGCTTATGAAGTGCAAGGCACTAGGCGATGCACTGGGGAAACAAAAAGAAAAACAAAACAGTCCCTGCTTTCAATTAGGTCGTATTCCACAGGAGATACAATACACAAATGTATATGTATACACACATATATACATATGCACATATATATGTTATATATGTATGTATGTATACATGTGCAGGACTATATACAGAAATAAGTAAATACAAATTAACCCAAATGGGTTAACATTCAGATTGCAAAAGAGAGAGTGCCAAGGTACCATGAAAAACTTAGAATATTTTTCCTCCCAGGGAGCAAAAAAAATTTCTTGGCAGTATAAATCTACACATTCTTATACACACAGAAACACACACACACACACACACCCCTGACTGACAAACACTTCCCAAACTTCTAAGTGTAGTTTGAGATAAATTCTCTTATCTGATTCACCATCAGGATAGGAGCTTTAATTGTGACTGAAAGTTAAGTTTGATCCTGCTATCCTTTGTATGGTAAAAAAAAAAAAAAGCTACCAGCTAAAAGGATAAATAATTAGAAAGGTCATTTGTGTGACTTAAAAGTAGATTTCCACACCAAAGAAGATAAGAAGCAAAATATTATATATGATGGTTATGTTTCTAATAAGGGAAGAAATGCTTTCCTTCAAGTTTATTTTGCTAATAAACAGATGGTTATTGTCTCAATTTTTATAATTTTGTCTTTATTATTTAGAAAGGTCCTGTAGGATATCCAACTTTTTTCCCCCCATTCTTCAAAAACTTGTTTCCCTGGAACTGCATTTACAGATAGGTCCCAATTAGTGCAAATGATGAATCCCATGCAGTAGATGAATGTGGTCATAGTCACACTATTTGGAGTTATAATTTTGTAAAAGATGGTAATTGGGACCAGCCTAGTGGAAATATATGGTGCAAATTCAAATAATGCGACTGCTTAACAGGAGCCAATATTGGCGCTAATTGGGATCTGGATTTCATTTAATATAGCTATGCAGAATCAAACCAAATTTTCTATTTCCTTTTGACACAAATATTCAGAATTGTGATCTTTGACCCTTATTATGAACATCAAGGAATGCAATTGGTTGATAAGTAATGCCAAACATTAAAATTAATGTGAAATGTAAAGACACGTGGATTTTATGTCTTCACAAATGAACCATTGGCACCGTTATCTGGGGGGAAAGGTAGGCTTAATTGCTTGTTACTTTTGCACGTCAGTCCAGAGATAAACCAAATCCTTTAGGAAAAGAAACATTTTCCCAAGCCTTAGGTTTTATGCCTAAGCACATTTGAATGGCTCCCATTGGAAAATGTGCTAATTATTTTCAGCTTGATTTTCAGGAAAATAAGTTCATTAATTTATAAGCCTAAAGTGATGACAATGTTTTCCTTTTTATTGGTAAGAGTGACAGTTTATAACAAGGTTGGGGGGGCAGGTTAAGCATAGGAAAGATGGATATCGTTTGCTTTATTTTTTCCTATTGGGATGGGATGGTCTTTTACTCCAAGTTGTTAGTTCTAAACCTGGCCATTCCTACATGAGATAGCCACAGGTTTTACTTTTAACAGTTCTTTACTCATTCACCACTACAGACTCTAGAAAGCAAGATAAGAGGAATATTTCCCCTTTAGTGTAAAAGGCCCTTAGGGAGGATGTCATTATACACTTTGTTTCCAAGACTGTTGCTTCCCAAAGAACAATGCTTCTGTCTGCCTTGAACAGATACACTTACCGGGATTTAGGCTGGCTTTATATAAGACTCAAAATGTACTTAATTTCATTAGCTATTCCTTCACCTACCCTGTTTCCTCACTCTATTCATCTAAAAAGATTGTTTGTTGGAGATATTCCAAGGGAAATTAGGGAGAAAAGGAAACATTATTTTGCTGCTACAGTGCAACTCAACCTCAGACCTGAAAGACTGAATATTCAAATAGTCTAAAAACTCTGCTTTCCTCCTTCTCCCCCTCCCCACCCCCCCCCGCCTCCTTATTTGCTGATGCTGGATAACAAGGGCACCTTTACATGTGACATATTTTTCCAGTTGCTTAAACTTGGATGAAATGTGCTACTAAAATTAAATAAATTAATGCTGACATTTCATATGCTGACATTTCCTCTAATGGTCCTGATATTCCTTTCCCTAGAGAAGAAAGGTAAAACTCAAGCTCAGTGGCTTGTGAAACTGGTTCACTGCTGAAATATAAATCACATTTCTTCATAATGAGGCCTGTTTTATAAGGTTGGTAGTGCCCATTCCATAAAAACCAAGGAACTGTTTATGTCTGCAAGTAAGCCAAGCAGCCTTAAAGCCCCTAAAAAAATGGAGTGACCAATTTTGGCATCAGTTTCAGTGCTGTTCACTGTCAAAGAAATATTTTTGAGTCCACTGGATAAAATTTGAGGTATTGTTCAAAAGATTGGTTGAACTTGGGTTCCTAGCCCTTTAAAAAAAACAACTTGAGAATTATTAGCATAAAGAGTCTTTCTGTGGGTCAGGAATAAAGATAGCAACAAATTCTCTTGCCTGAAGCCTATTATCTAATGATGATTGACTATATCTGTCATCCTCCATGTGAGAACACATTCCTTTGAGATCGACAGTGTAACTATTAATGAACTTGGGTGGAATAGCCTATAATGTAATTGCTCATATAACTGAAAAGTGCCCAGTTGTAATTTGCTGCCCTGTGCCTATGACTTAATCGGTGTATCCATTCAGCAATGCAGTTCAGTAACTGATATGTAAATATTCAGTCTTCTTTGAAAGTTACCCTCGACACAGAAAGTTAAATGGTTTATGCAGTCATTAGCATATGTCAGAGTCAGGACTTGGACCCCAGTCTTCCTGACTCCAAGGATGCCTCTCTATCCATTTTGCCATGCTGTCTTTACTAAATAAAATAATAACAACAGCATTAAAAGCAATGTTCTTCCAGAAATTACTTGACCACCTTTTAAAGTTTTAATAAATTTCAGGCTTACAAATTGATATTTTAACTGAATTTTCTTCTTCACAATGTCTTTAGTGAAATCAATAAATATATGAAATGCCATTTTAAAAAAATTTACAACGTTCGTTCAGTTGTTAAGCGTTCACAAACTGCACACAGACTGTGATCTCTGTCTACCTTGCATGTGATGATAGGAAAAATGACCATCTAATCCAATCCCTTCATTTTACAGATGAGGAAACTGAGGTCAGGAGAAATGAAATTATTTGCCCAAGGTCACACAAACAAAAAGCAGCAAAACTATGTTTTAAACGAAGGTCCTAATATTTGTAAAGCACTTGGTAGAGTGTCTGATATAGTAGATGCGATATAAATACTCATTCCCTTCCCTTCCCTTCCCATTCCCCCTTTGGCTTTAAATCCAATACTCTTTTCTATTCTTTAAATATAGTCATTATCTTGTTATTTCATATCTGTGAATTTAGGAATGAACAAAGTAGTGCATTTGATACCTGCTTCAATACTTTAAAAGGTAAACACATTTGACTTGAGTAGTGATCTGGGGGAGGCAGCATGTGACAAGAGAGAGCGTTGACACTAGAGCCATGAACCTGGGGTTGTGACCTCGACTCTGCTTAAAACTCGGGGGCTCTTGGGCTTGATGCCCTTCACTTCTCTAGGTCTCTGCTCTCAAGGAGCTCATATTCTAATGGAAGATGTGCATACAATGTATTTATACATAGACATAATATAAATGAGAAGTAATACCAGAAGGAAGGCACGAGGTAGAAGTAGGGGGTGGGGAGAGACAACAAAAGCATCTTGTGGAAAGTGGAATTTGAGCTGAAACTTGAAGGAAGCCAGGAAGAAAGGAAGGGATGAAGAGAATTCCAGCTATGGGAAAGTGTAAAAAGGCACTGAGCAGAAGATGGAGTGTCAAGTGTGAAGAACAGCAAGTAGGCCGGTGCCACTTTGTCATCGAGTATTTAGATGGGAATGAAGTGTTAAAAAAAACTGGAAAGGCAATCAATCAATCAACATTTATTAAATGACTGCTACGTGCCAGGCATTGTGCTAAGCATTGGAGATACAAAAAGATTCAATAGTCCCTGCCCTCAAGGAGCTTACAAACTAATGGAAGAATAGAGACAGCTTGTGAAGAATTGATTTTTTTTTCCTTTTAAAAGCAAACAGGATTTTATCTTGATCCTGGAGGTAATAGGAGGCAATTAGATTTTATTAAGTAGAAGAGCCATATATGGTCAGGCCTGCCTTCTAGTTTGTGAGTTTTTTTCTTAATAGTATTTTATTTTTTCCTAATTACATGTAAAGATAGTTTTCAACATTCAGGCCTGCCTTTTAGTAAGATCATTCAGACAACTGAGTGGAAGATTGACTAGAACGGGGAGACACTTGGGTCGGAAAGACCAAGCAGCAGGATATCGCAATAGTCCAGATGTGAGGAGATAACAGCTGGTAACAGGGTGGTGGTTGTATGAGTGGCAAGGAGTGGATGTATACATAAGATGTTATGCAGAAAAAATGGCAAATGACAAAAACGACAAAAAGACTTGGCAACAGATTGGATATGTGGGGTGAATGTAAATGAGGAGTTGAAGATAATACCTACATTGTGAGCCTGGGTGACAGGGAGAATAGTGGTGACCTCAATAGCAATAGGGACTTTCTGAAGGAAGAGATGGCTTGTTTGAGAGTCATCTGCAAAGAGATGGTAATTGAAGCCATGGAAGTAATTTAAATAATTAGAGAAAATGCCAAAAGAGAAGAAAAGCTGGAGGGGGGGAGTCTTTGGGCTGCAAAGATTTGGAGAGTCTCCTGACTTCCAGCCCTCTGCTATTTCCTAGAGATCACAATCTGCCCTCAACTAATACAGAATATGTAAATAGACATACTATACACCTACCTTTTAAAAATTATTTATTTTAACATCCTTTTCTTTTTAAATCATATTCCAAATTGCCTCCTTCCCTCCCATCCCTTCCCAACTCACTGAGAAGTCAAGCAAAATGATATCAATTATACATGTGAAATCATGCAAAATATGTTTCTATTTTAGCCATATCACAATAAATAAATAATTAAATAAATAAGCAAATAAACAAACAAATAAAGTGAGAAGATTATACTTCAGTTGACACTCAGAGTTCTTCAGTTCTCTCTTTGGAGGCAGATAGCATTTTTCATCATGAGACCTTTGGAATTCTCGTGGATCATTGTATTGATCAGAGTATCCATGTCTTTCACAATTGATTATCATTACAACATTGCTCTTACTACGTACAATGATCTCCCACTTCCTCTTGCTTTATTTAGCTTTGGTTCGTACAGATCTTGTTTTTTTTTTTTTCTGAAACCACCCCCTCATCATTTCTTATAGCACAATAGTATTCCACCACATTCATATACTACAACTTATTCAGCCATTCCTTAAGGGTATGTTTTGACAATTTCCTCATTAATTACTAAAATTGCAACTTCTCTCATTAATCAATTTTCTCTGAACTCCCATCCCATTTTATTAACATTATTTATCAAATAAACTGGAGAAACCCCTTTCCCCATAAGTTTTTGCACGCCTTTTTCTAAATCCTCATCCTCAACAAGCATTTATTAAGATTTTACTATGTGTCAGGTGCTGTACTAATACCCAGGGATACAAAGAAAGGCAAAAACAAGGTCTTTGACTTTAAGAAGCTCACAGTCTC